TACGATTTGATTTTCTGACACAATTGCTTTGCAATATGCATGAAATATTTGCCACTGGACGTTAAGCCAAAAAAATCAATGCGCTACATTTGAACAAAGCAAAACTGGCAGTGCTATCAGATTTATATGATAATATTTTTTGCAGTCATTAGTGCACACGGAAAATAAAGCTGCATGAATAAAAGGAGATGTGAAGTATACGTCAATGAGACAGCAGCCCAACTACATAAATAACCAAAAGACATCTAGAGGGAGACGTGTAATCTTCAACAATGGACAGATGTCCTAACAATATGTCATATAAGTGCTATCAAATTTATATATTATTATTTTTTCAGCTAGCAGTGTACACGGAAAATTAAGAGTGAAATAGAAGGAGAATCAGATGTGGGTTATACATCAATAGAATAGCAGCCTAACGACATAAATAAAAAAAAAAAAAAAACCATCTTGATGCATACATACAGTCTTTGACAAATTGACAGGTAACCACACAATATGTCTCGCTCTTAATTGTCTCGATTCCATGAAAGATTTATATATATATATACAATTCAACAGAAAATATCAAAGATCTGCTATTAACACTCAATTCTCTAAATAAAGAGGGGGGGGGGCATTACGATATGACATGCGACCACTAACGACAACGTTCCTGACGTAGACACACACGTTTATGAAAATGTAATTGTTAAACTAAAGTTTTTTTTTTATCTCAACCATCCCCCTTTTATCTTACAACATTCTAGGAGAGAAAAAGGAAAAGTAGTCTAAGAATTGACCCTGTCGCTTCAACGAACGTACGGGTTTTACTCAGTCCCGTCGAGGGCTAAGTTCCCAACAGAACTAGACTGTAATTACTAGACTGCGGTTAGATCACAAACAAATGGAAGTTTTTAACGACCTTGACTGGATATACATCCCTCGCACGGTCGGCTCGGTGCCCGAAGGCGTTTGGTGAGCGTTTGAATAATTTTGTGCCATCGGTCAGGAACAGGTGGAGGACGCCATTTTGGTAGGCCGCCATCTTGGTTTTGTGAGTTGTTTTGGTTTTTCTTTTGTTGACTATTTTGATGTTATGTCTTCACAACGGCTGCTTTCAGGGCCAGATTGGTCAGCTTGGCAGCCCGCCAACCTCGATGATGGAGTACTGGTAGATGAGTCTCGGACGTAGTATTAACGATGACAGGAAGCATTATCAGGACCAAAGTCGTGAGACAGTGAAATGGTGGTCCATCATCTAACACCTAGGATACAGCCCTCGGACGTCACTCGGCATACCACTCCCCCATCCATAATGGGTTTTGGAGTGGATGTTGACGCGGGAATTTGCCCTACACGGATTATAGCCTAACGTAGTCTGTACAGAGTTGGATTGGTTTCTGTCATCGAAAGTAGTAAGTCGTTGATCCATCTAACAGTAAACCCTCATCGAAGATAGCGGGTAAAGGAGAGCTGACCCAGCACGTCCGTTCAGTTGTAATGACTGAGACGTGACTGAATGGGTTAGATCACAAATCTTGCGATGCAAAGTTATATGTAAAAATTATTTCATGAAAAAGGTATCATAAAACGGATAATTTCAAAGTTTTGCAAAATTTGTGTTTGTTATCAGGAAAAAAACCATGATGATGACTCATTTTATGATTGAGTCGTTGTTTAAATTTTGTTTGGACTTTTTAATTTCAATCTGTGCAGATCACAACTTCAAAAAAGACGAAAAGTGCCAAAAACTCCACAAACGTGTGTAATACGTATATAACGATCAAGATTTTTGCCAATACCTTCTCTGAGGAAATTTGGCAAATTGTGTACTATATAAGGTTTTCAAACCTATACATCGTATGCTAACCCCTGAAAGAAGTGGCTTGTTTTGTTTCGTACTAGTTTCGGAAAACGATTTTTTTTGTGTTTGTGTTTTACTTTTGCTTTTTGCATTTTTTTAGTTTTTTAAATTTCTTTTAGAAAAGGGGGGTGTAGTGAAATAGATTTTTTTAATGATAAACTTTATTGTACAGAATGGCTCTCTATCTTATATCTATATTTTGCATTTAATGTAATTTTGTATTATATATTATTGAGAGATAAAATATTGATTTTAATTGAATAGGTAATAAATTGCTTCGCCGAGCGCAGCTTGATACGACCGCAGAGGTCCAACCCTGAACAATTGGGGCAAAAATGGACACAATATGCGCGCTTGATACAGGTCTGAATTTGGATTGTAATTAAATATTTGACACATAATAGGTTTCTGATCCAGAATAACTGTAGTCAAAGATCTTATATTTGGTTATATGATTTGAATGTATATATCATTTTTTTGATTTTGTGCAATACACTATGCTGTTGCGAATTGACCCCCCCCCCCCCCCCCCCCCCCCCAAACAAAAATTTATCTATTTCTTTCGAAATAAAGGCAACAGTAGTATACCGGTGTTCAAAAGTCATATATCGATTGAGAGAAAACAAATCTGGGTTACAAACTAAAACCGATGGAAACACATCAACTATAAGAGGAAAACAAAAGAACAACAGGAACACTGAAGTGCAACAAAAACAAACGCCAACATACATAGAAACGAACTATTTGATATTATTACTTGGTACAGGACATTTTAAGAAAAAATGGTGGGTTGAACCTGGTTTTATGGCTAGCCAAACCTCCCGCTTATATGACATTGTTAAAAAATATCGCTAAAATGACAACACTACGTGACAGAAATACAACACAAACATACGCAAGAACACTCATCACAGATAAACGCACAAACACATAATATAATAGTCTTAGAAAAGAATATTCTTAGAAAAGAATAATAAAGACAGTTTGTTCAAAAGTCATAAAATATGACATTTTGATCAGATTGTATATGTATATAGATACATGTACAAAAGACGGTTAAAATCTTTGCATGGCATAGATTTTTCAAATTTTATCTTTTTCAAATTATTCAGCAACAGTGATGATCAAGATGGTGATGATTATGTTCGATTGTTTTATAATAACCATAATTCCAAAAGAGCTCTATTTAATTTTTGGATGTGTTGGATTTACCGTATATTCTCTTTTAAGCAACAGCATCCATGCTGGATATCGGCGGGAATAACATAACACGTTTTAGACTCCCTCCCAAAAACGAGTATTGGCATTTTCCGTTAGTTTCAAAAATAATTTTTCAACACTGATTTACTACATGTTAAATTACCCGGGACATACTTTATTGTTATATTCAAAGAGGTCACGGAAGCCTAGCCTAGCATTCTGACCAAATCTTATACTTCGTCGATAGGTACTGTCAGCGTTAGCAATCAGTGAGGCAAGACCCCAGGCTAAAGGAGGCCTAGTGATAGATACACCTTTACACAGGAATTTCGGACCAGCGGAGGTATATTGCAACAATTATACTCGTCAAACCTAGTTTAGAATAAAGAAATATTCCTCAGATAATGACAAAAGTGAAAATTTCCAGTTGCAACTATTCTATATATATTTTTGACTATTAATATATACCTGGGAAAGTTAAGGTTTATTTATATATCAAAATAGGACATTTTGATCAGATTGTATATGCATATAGGTACATGTACACTGTTTGTTGTAGATACAAACTGTCTTTATTATTCTTTTCTAAGAATATTCTATTTTATATTTATTCTTCTTAGAACGAGACACACGTTGAAAATTTCCAATCACAACTATTCTATTTAATTATAGGCTATTTATGTACATATGAATAAGTAGGTATATTTTACGTTTTAAAATTATAGCCCATTATAAATATACATAAATTGAATATCTGTACATTATATATGTATACTGTTTGTTATCATTATGCCAACATTTATTATTTTCTAAGACTTTAAATTTGGTTGATGTTGATGAGAGTTCGTAAGGTACCGTCCTTTCCTTTAATGGAGCATAGAAATAAAAAAATAAAAAATTAAAAAACAACTATTTTAATAATAACATACAGGAACACGATAATTTCAAATAAATCTTTTTTTTTTATTTTCTTATCATATACTGGAACATGCCGACTTTCCTTTAATATGTATTCTAATTAACAAAAACCTTTTTATTTTTAACTGATATAATAAAAGGCCTAGCCGAGAGGAGACCGTGAATTTTTATCCTATATTACAAAATTTCAATATCACAACTGACTCAGTTGACCTTGTTACGACCAATTTTTAGAAGTCATGTTTTCGTTTTCTTGCCTCAGTGGATTATGTAGAAAAAAAAGGCGGAGATGTTCACTTTTTTCTGCTCCAAAAAGAATGAAACAACTTAGGATAAATGAATGCAAGTGTATACAAAAGAGTGAATGATTGGAAATAAGAAAATATACTGTTTATGCCAGTTACAGTTGTCATAAGCTGTTCTTTGCCAGTTATAACCTCTTTTGACGGACAGTCATTTGTAATAGTTATTAGTCTGGCAGCTATGTTTAAGGTTCGGATAATCAGCAACTTAATTGTTTTTAGATATTGAAAGGTTATAGTTGAGATTTCTCAAAAAAAAGATCGAAACAACTAAGGATCAAGAATATCTAGGTATTTACAGTAGTAGATGGAATGATGAAACAAAAGGTATAACAAAATATCGAACTCCTAGTTAAATTCAAAAGGGGGAAGTCCATAAAAACTGACAAAATCAAACGTTATTAACCAGTGAACAACAACTTGTTATATTCCTGACTTGTTACAGGCATTTCCCGAATGAATGGTGGGTTAAACCTGGTGTTATAGCTATCTAAACCTCCCACTTGTATGAAATTTGTTTATGGTCTCGTCTTATTCACGAAATTGGGGCGAGCGACCCAAAAAGACATAAAAGTTTAATGTGACAATAATTGGGATCCAGCTTCCAAAATTGTGTAAACATACATCACAGACATACAACATAGCTGACTAAAATATTCAAATAAACATACAAATAAATGTTATAAAGACGCCAGAAATTAGTAAATATATTAACAAAAAAAAAACCGCCAATATTTAGTTTAATGTGCGTATTTATTTGAATCACACGTAACAATTAATGTAACAATTAAAACAATTTCAAATTTTAACCTAGTGCATTGCATACACTTTTAAGTTTCTTAAGCAATCATACTTGCCCTGCCATATATAAAAAATGCGTTCTTACCAGTTTTATATGAATAACACACACTTACACAGTATCATATAAATAACACACTTATACAGTATTATATGAATAACACATAGGTACACGCATATAACACTTACTTACACAGTATTATATAAATAACGCATACTCTCACAGTATCATATAGATAACACATACTTACACATTATCATATAAATAACACATACTTACACAGTATTATATAAATAACACATACTTATACAATATCACATAAATGACACATACTTATACAGTATCATAAAAATAACACTACATGTACGTACACAGTATTATGAATGTAGAATAAATAAATATATGTATATATAAAATGAATATAGTTTTTTCTTGATCACAGGTAATGCAATGATGAGATGACAACGAACATACAAACAACCAGAAAAAAATACAAAATATGTATTTGCCATATAAAATGCCACTTCGGGTCCCTAACTAATGTTGCTGTGAAAAGGAACCTCGGGGAAAATAGATTTCAGATTTAACAAAAATATATTTATGCCAAATACAGTATGACATCTAATCTCATATTTCTACCTAATAGTATACTAGTTATATATTTACAGAATTTTTAGCAGACTTTATCTTCTCTTGCTGTTTGTTCTTTAGCTATTGTATTTTCTGCCTTAATGGTGTCAAATCCTAATAAACCTGTACAAGTGTTAACATTGTCTGAAACATTAGCAGAATGTTTTGTTATATCTTGAATACCTTTGGAAAAATGTTCGCTACTGTCTAAAATATTATAGTCTAATTGTTCACATTTTTTCTCGTTCTTAACCTGGCTCACTGGGTCCAATTGTGGGAGGACTATGTAGTGATTCATCCAATGGAATGCTTGAAGCTAATATATTATGGTCACCAAAGTTGTGTGAAGGAGACTTGTTGTCATCATCTGGATGTGCTACTATTGTGGAATCTGTATAAGACGGTGATGATGACTCATGTATATTCTCTGAAATATAATGAAAAAGGGTACTTACTTATATTCATAGAAGTAAAATGTTTTATTTAAGACAGGTTCAAGAAACCTCAAAAGTAACTTACTCATATTCTTATAGAAGTAAAATTTTTTTTTTAAGACAGTTTCAAGAAAGCTCGTATATCGTAGAAATCGCGAAATTTAAACCCCTAAAAATAATACACTGAACAGTACTTTGTTTGTATATATAGACTGAGTATATTTATAAATTAAAATTTCAAAAATAGTAAATTGCTCTTTGTTCAGACAAATATATCTTAAAATATTCTGAGATGCAAGTTCTAAATATTAACAATTACCTTGAGGCGGTGCTGTTGCTTGTTCGGTTGCTTTAGGAATTTCTGGGGTTGTCGAAGTTGTCTGATTTCCAGGTTCACTTTGGTCCGTATCAACTGCATTTACGGGTTCTATACGTTTTTCGATTTTCACAATCTCTAATGACGTATAACGTTTGTTTCTTTTTCCTTTTTTTTGGTATAGTTTCCATCCTTTTTTCACATACAAACATATAACCAATAGTAAAGCAATGGTTGCTATGGTATAGGCACCTTCAACAGCTGTACAAAGAAATAAAATGTTAAAAAACAGTATAGTCACCCTATGTACGTTTATGGATAACGATATTTATTCAGTCTTTCCTTACACTTTACTGGTAAGACGCGGATTTATTTTTTTTTGGGGGAGGGGGGCGCTCCTGAGAATTAGTTAAAGGACCATATGTTGACATATATTACATTTTTTTTCTTTATTAGGGGGGGGGGGGGGGGGGGCATAGGGCGCATGCTGGTTTATGTACGGAGTGAACGGTATATGCACAAAGTTTCATTCTATACTTATTAAACATGGTCCGAGTACACAGTTAATAAAGTCCCTAGTGTGGACAGTGTGTTGCTTGCCAATTTTTTTAGTACCCCTTCCAAATGTATTCCTTCATGTTTCATGCCTCAAATAGCAAGTAGGGGGTGAAATTACACTGTAAAAAAATTTGGGTCATGAATTGTAAAGTAAAGTAGTGATTTGGTCCAGCTAAAAAAGGTTAAAAATTAGCACTTCGGAAGCTGTCAAAAGATTTCAAGACCCCCTTAACATAGAATTGTCCATATTTTGAGTTAGAGCCGATGATGCAGTTTTCTATAATTTTGATATAATTTGTCCCAAAAGTAGTACAACACACTGTAAAAATATTATTGAGAAAGCGCAGGTGGGATTTTTTTTATTTTCATTTATTGTCTAAAAGAAATGCACTACGAAATAACTGTGTACTCGGACCACATAGGACAATTCTTAAGATTATTAATATTTAACTTCTTTATGCTCTTCAATTGAATCATACCAATAAGTCGTTAGAGATGTTTTATAAATAAATATATATTTTTAGATTTAATTATTTTAAAGTATAGAAAACGGAAAATTTTGAGCTTTAAATAGATTTTTTCAATAGCAAGGTGTGATCTTAAAATACGTGACACGTTTTTGACAGTTCCATAAGAATTACTATTCTATAAAAATTAGGATTACGGAATAAATCACCAATTTAACATCTATCCACCTAAAGTCAAGGATTTCATATAATTCTTTTAAAATAGAGTCTTATTGATAAATTCATGTATATACATATACTTACATGTTCCAGAATATGAGCTGTAGTTGTTCATTTGTGGATCACGTTGAACGTCCCCGGGACTAGTTGAAGTCGTCGAGAACATTCCTAAAATTTTAAACATGTAGGTAGTAAAGACAACACACTTCTCGTTTACATTGTAAATCTTAAATCTAAATGGAACTGGCGAAATATGTAAACATCGCACCAGAAACGTGGACTGAACATACAGTAGCATTAAAAAACAATTTTTTTTCTCCTTAAATATTCCCCCCCGTATAAATCACATAAATTCTATCCTTAAGAATAAAAATAAAGTTAAAGAGAAAATCGTTTTAAGAAGAACGTCATGCGTTAACGGACATACCTTTTAAAATTTGAATAGGAAATTTAAGAGAAAAAAATTTATTAAATAGAAAAGTTAACTTCTTATATACTTTAATCTAGTAACTTAAAATCTTACTATTGCATTCTGCTCTACACTGTGTCGGTATTGAATCAGAACTACAAATATCCTGTGAACAAGAACCACATCTTTTATCCTCTGTATCACAGTACTGAATTGGAAATGTACAAATATCAAATCCACAATTAAATTTAAAACTTTCTTCTGGAAGCTTCATGACTACTTTTACAGTCTACAACCTATACACGAATTCGTCATACGAGCGAAAATCTGACTTAAATACCTGTACGTTTTTTTTCCTATTTAAGGATAAGGGAATTCCCACAAATTATCCAATTTAAAAGTCATATGAATGAATGACTAGGTTTGATTTTTAAGATCGCGAGATCTACTATAATTAAAGATGACAAATATTTTGTATTACGCAATAGACAACAAAAAAGCGCATCCAAGAAGAAATATTTTACTTATTTGCAAAATCATGGACGTGTAGAGCAGGGACAAAACTCAACATGCAGTTCACAATCTTTTTGTCTTTTCCTCTTGAGAATTAGATCTGTCCTACTACATCACTTGCGGCAAGGACAAAACTATATTAAATTTTTAAAGATAAAGTTTTAAGTATATACTTGTTACATTATTATGTAATTTAGTGGTATTTCATAGAATGGAAGATCTATAAATTGCCAAAGAAGAAATATCTTAAAAGCCACAATGATAGTAGTAGACAAACAGTGCCAAACTTTTATACGAAGGAGGGGAAAATACCGATGGGCAATCACAAACAATAAGTCGAAGGACAAACAAGACAATATATTACCTTATTAGCCAGGAATAAATACATAACTTTGTCTACATCCACATCAAAATAATATAAATGATAAACTGTCATTCCTTATGTATGATTGATAGCGAACCTTGGATAACCATCTCTGGATCATATGCCAACACCTGTCTGTCACACACACAATGAAAAAAAAATATGATCTCTATATCTCTTTATATACTGTAAAGTTTACTGACAATACTGGTGGCGAATGTTACTGCATGCTTAGTATTCAAAGGTTTCAAAACATTAATGGTGAAATACAACAGGCAGTATACCGATACCATGCAGTTGTAATATATCCCATAGGAATTCTACAACGTACCCTTACAAATACAAATACAGTTCAAATATCACGTCTTTTTGAAAAAACAGACACACCGTATCAATAACATAAACTCCGAATAAAATTGAATGAAAGCAGATGTGACGACAGACTAAGCATTTTGTTTTTGCTATGCTTGCATTTCCCGGTCATGCAATGGATATGTGGGATCTATGGCATAGAGTGAACAGGTATTTGGGAAGATGAGACAGAGAAACACTGAAATGGCGAAATGAAAGAACTCGCAATGACGAGGGTAAAAGTTTGAATATGATGAGTTCAGTTTTCCCCTTAAAACATTATTTAAGTAGTTTTAAGATGGTATAAGTACATGTTTATTTAGCGTGGTGGATCATTTGAAATAATACCAAATCTCCTAATTTGCATTCTATTTGTTACACTACCATTATCAGAAATTTGAATTAGTTGTCCTAAGATGAATTTGTGTATTTGTTTTAGGTTCCTTTAAGTTTAAGTCACAAAGCTCTTCACGTGTTAAGTTCTTATATATCCTTTGCTTTCAAATGTTTTGGTCTGAGCGTTCCTGATGAAGGTAAATCCAGAAAAGAGCTTCGGACGCACACTCGAGATATGAAGCAAATCCTCTTGTTTCTGTTAGTTTATATAACATTTTAAACAATTCTTATTTTCATAAACAATAACTATAAAGGTGCCAAATTAGATACTTAAAATTAATTATGATCAAGAATCAATCCACAGTATGAATGTTTTTTTTTCAAAAGTAGGAGACGTTCTCTTGGAAAACATGGATTAAATAGTTGTTTGCTTATAGATTGTTGTGGATAGCGTAGCATCGACACGTTTGTTATATCTTATGGTACCAGATCTTTAACTTTTGTAATAGCTTTTGGATTTTAATATGTTTTGGCCTTGAGCATCACTGAAGAGACATGTATTGTCAAAATGCGCATTATGTGCAGCAAAACTGTTGGTGTGTTTGCATAGCTTCCTGATGTAGCGAGCACATTTTGACCCTGGTTTCCAAATATTAGCCGTATTTTGTTTCTATGTTCAACTTTGAGAGGCCATTATGTTAATAGTTGCACTGTACAGACTTTTTATTGTGTGTTTTAGTTTAACGACATATGGTCTAGATAGGCAAAAAAAGGGGGGTTATTCACGTAAAACTTGTATAATCCAATTACATTATGTGCGTGTACCAAGTCAGACTGTCTGGACCATGTGTCGTTCGTTGTTGTTTGTCTTTGTTTGTACACTATATCTGTTTTTTTTTCTTCGGAGGAGTCGGATTCGTCTTTGCTGTTGTGTAGAATTTATGGCGATTTCTTCTATCCCTTAGTATGCAATACTCACACACTTGGTTCAGATTGTTGTCTCTTTGACACATTCCCCATTTCCATTCTCAATTTTACTTATGCGGGATATCCTAAGATAAAGAAATAATTTCAGTTGCAAATTTACAAATCGTCTAATTTCTTCAAATATTCTAGAACCGAGGTGACCACTGATGCAAACTTTGGATAGGTACTTAAAATGAAATGGATGAAACAATATTCTCCAACTCTGAAGACAATTCTGGACTGTTAATGAAGAGAACGTCAAATAATATTCATTTCTAATTTATTAGAATAAAGTACTGATGGGGAAAGTTTCTTTATGAATTTGAGCGCACAATATATTCTTTGCGCTCACAAAATTTTTATATTGAGCGCACAATATACTTTGAATTGAGCGCACAATATAATTATTTTGTGCACAATTACTTTTTTTACATAGGTCCCTATCAGGGCTTCGCAACTTTGTGGTCCCAGTAATAAAAAAAATATTTTGAGTGTAAGTATTTAAGTTGTATTGTATATTGATAGCTATATCGTGGGACAAGTAAAACATGCACAATCTATCCATTGTACAAAGGTGTATTCTTAAATATACATAGAATGATCATACTTATACCTGTATAAATTTGATATGAAAATTATCTTTACATGTCTCTATTTTTAAATATTGAACTGACGATTGTCATTATAAAAAGGGTTTGTAATCTTTAAAATCTTTCGGCGGACACTGAAATATGGTCTTAAGAAATATAATATATACTTATACTGTGAAATTATGAGTAAAATTTCTGTTTTTAAATATCCATATAAATTAATAGATATGACTTCTGATTTGATGGAGAAAATAATAATTTGATCAGAATTTCAGAGAAACAAATATACCTTTAAAAAAAATCGACAATTAACTTGATTCTTTCAATTACTAATATTAGAGGCAAAATACTCTCAAATTATCATACAAGACTGATTTAGAATTCGTAAAAGAAGATTTTTGACTGAATATATAACTCGTTCAATGAGAATTTCTTTAAATATGAAAACATACACAGTAAATCATAAAAAGGCTAGTTTAAAAATCCATGTCTGTCTTTCTTCTAGGTCCAGAAAAACTCGTACGTCAGAACTTACAGATAAACTCTTTGTTTAAAAAAACGTTATCAGTTTGAAAATTTCGTATCGACTTTTCTAGAAATGTTTATTTTTATCGTTCAACGACATTGATCAATGATTGACTTTCAAAAATTTGGAAATAACCATTTACTAAAAATAGAATAGGTAATTTATATTCTATTTCAGTACATAAGTCATAACATTTTAAATTTGTTGCACATTTTATTTTGATAAAGCTTAAATAACACTTCGTTTATTCTGTGTACAAAATGCCGTTTTTTACTGCAAGACCTTCAGAGATAATGTATTCTCAAGTTTCGATAGCAAAAACTTTTAAAAATGGTGATTCAATTGGTGACGTTCTAGATGATATTATGGAAGACCGACTTTCAGTGTCCAGTTTACCTCCAATTTTGGTAAAACATATTGACGGGGAGTTAGTTTCAGCTGACAATAGACGACTATGGATTCTAAAACAGTTGGAAAAGTTTGGACATTTAACAACAGTGAAAGTAAAAAGAACAAAGTGGATTGGTCATAAAAAAAGCGCTAGAACGCAAAACGTGAAAATTCGCGGTGGCTCTCCCGGAGGAAAATGGACTTGTGTTTCAGAATCATTAACAGAATTAACAAATTTGATGAAACTGTGTTTGATATAATCGTTATAAACATTAAAAGAGTACAATACTCATAATACTGTTCAAACGAGATCATATTGAAGGAGACAAAGCTGATCATGGATAACATTTTTGTTGGTGTTTGAAATACCAATAATACGCATTGAATGAAGAAGATTTAAGTAACATAAAAGTCTAACAATTCATATATGCAGATCAAACTGATATATGTTGATAAAATTCAGTGTTAGGGAACATATGTATTAAAAGGAAGTAATTCAATTTTAAACGATTGTATATATCCTGGCAGGACAAACATACATTGTAGTAGTTTTCGTTATCGTGATGTTAAAAAGACTGCTATAATGGTTGTTAAAACGCTTCCGACGTAAACTATTATAGATTTTAGTGCAATGACATTTTACGCGCGAGAACACGATAAATTTCTGAAAATGAGAAGCGTTAAGCATCTTTACATGCGAGCATACGACAAATTCCTTAATTGAAATGCGGTAGAACTTGATGTGGAAATTCATGATGGATCTGTATTTTAGAGATTGGATCCACCTTTAGATTCACTTGTAAGACTTGTAGATGTAAAATGTTAGATTTCAGAGAAATACGAAAATAAACAGTTTGTGTGAAATTTAAAAATAATTGACTAATTATTTTCATGAAAGTCTTAATGATTGAATGAAAAACAGTGATCTTAACAAACTAATGAACGAGATACGTTCAATGTTTAAAAAGGGTCGGAAGGATATAAAAATGTATGATCCATAAAAGGACTGATGATAAATTACACTAAATGTATTTGTGGAAGAGAATCGTTTATGTACAAGTATTTGATAACTTTCATGTACCATTATATAGAATAAATATAAATATTGTACAATTAAATATTTAATGAATTTAGATTTATTCAAGACTTTATTCATAACCTGACACAAACAGGTGTACAAGAGGATAATATAATTACAAACATAAGATAATACATAGCGAGACAGGACAGACAAATCACAAATACATCGAGTGGTATAAAAGACACTTGGTTTTATAGTTCTTTACGAAAAATTGA